GGGGGTGGGGGGGGGGTGGTCTGGGTTTCCCGAGAGAGGCGGGGGTCTGTCCCTGGGGGGGGGGGGAGGTGCGCGAGGTTGAGCCAAGATTCGGCCGAGGACCGAGCCGAGGTTGGCGCGCGCAGGTGCTGGAGGAGACGGGGTTCGCCGAGGAGCGCACCGCGAAGCTGGACCAGGACGACTTCCTCAGGCTGCTCGCCGCCTTCAACGCGGTGCGAGCTCGCCCGAGATCGGCCCAGATCGCCACTGGCTGCCAGTCTAGAGTGCCCGAGATGACCAGGCTCGCCGCCTTCCAGCACTGTGGGGGGGAGCGTGTGTGGAGGCGCAGCGGGCCGCAGCAGCGTGTGCGAGGATGCCGTCACCTCGCCTCTGCAACCTCACCTCTCGCGCTTTAGGTGGGCATTCACTTTGCCGGTTGCTGAGGTGAGTGGGCGCAGTCACGACTGCGGACTGGCGCGTTCCGCGTGTATTGACGGGGAGAATGGCCTCTCCTCTCTATGTAGTCATGTGTGTGATGGAAAACGGTTGTGTCAGCCCATGTTGTGGGATGCGCAAGCGGAGCGGTAGCGCCTGAGCTCCCGGGTGGCTGCGCCGGCCGCGCGGGCCGTGGGCGCAGCGTGGGGCCGGGAGCGGCCGGCTCCGTGCTCATGTGTCCAGCGTCTCTAGACGATTACAAAGGATCGGACGTCACGCACATTTTGACAGGGACGTCGGAAATCGGACACATCCACTGGGACGAGTCAATTCATTCACTAGAATGACTAGAAAGGGCACCCATGGGGGGTGATCGCATCCCCCCCAATGGCGGCGGGCGCCGCAGAGCCGGCATTGTGGAGTCAATCCCCCCCATTGCGCGCGCGCGCATTGGTGGCGAAGTCGACGCTGCGCCTCAGCTTGTCGCGCGCGACCCACTTGGTGAGGAAGTCGGCGGGCATGAGGTCGTCTGCGATCTTGACGACGCGGCACTCGCCCTCGGCCATGCGGCGCTGGAGCGTGTGGTACCGGCGGAGGAAGTGGCGCGAGCGCGACGCGGACATGGCATTGTTGGCGACGAGGACGTTGGCCTTGTTGTCCGAGAGGATGACCGTGGGCCCGGCGGGTGGCGCTCCGAGGGCAAGGAGGACGACGCGCGCGTAAGAGACGTGCTCCCCGGCCTTGGCGGTGGCGATAGCCTCGCACTCGTGCGACGAGTCGACGATCAGGCCAACCTTCTTCGTGCAGTGGTAGACGGCGGCGCCAAAGCACGTGAGGACGATGCCGTAGAGGTCGAGGTCCCCGTTCCACGTGGCGTCGGCGGCGGCAGCGAGATCGGCAGGCGCGTGCGAGTCGAGCCCCGCGATGTGGGCCTGCATGTGCCCCTGAAGCTCGGCGACAGCGCGAGGCCCGCCGTACGTGATCCCGTCGTCCCTATGCTCGTAGGCCGTGTTGAGGGCGGCGCGCGCGACGTCGTAGGCGGCCGGCGGCGGCGCAGACATCACGCACGAGAGGCGGTGGAGGACCAGACAGAGCTTCGGCTGGACACGCTCGACGAACTTGAGGTGGCCGATGATGCTCTGCGTCCGCACCTGCTGCGGCGTCAGCTTGCCGTCGCGATCGGCGAGCTTGAGCGAGTCGGCGGCGACGGCGAGGCGCCTGCCGCTGAGGAGAGTCGGGCGCTCGCCACGGAGGAGCTCGGGCATGTGCTCGCGAGCGGCCTCGATGATCTTCTGCGGCATGGACAGCGTGAGAGTGCGCCGCTCGCGGTCACGCTCGAGCTTGAGACCGGCAAAGGAGGTGGGGCTGTAATCGACCTTGACCTCGCCGTCGAACGCGGCCTTGAGCGCGGCGATGGTGGCGTCGGTGGCGGCGGTGCCGTTGACCTCGGAGATCATGAAGTCGTCAACGATGGTGATCATGCGAGCCTCGCCGTGCTCACCGTGGTAGGAGAACATGGCGGGGACGCCCGGGCACGGCATCCAACCGAGGCTCTTGATGGTCTCGTTGAAGGTGCATTCCCACTCGTAGCCGGCGCTTTCCTCACCCCAGAGCGGCGTCGAGAGCTCGATGCAGAGCTGTGTGCCGTCCTCGTCGGTCATGGGCAGCGTGGACGGGAGGCTCATGTAGCCGACGGGGCCCTGGCGCTTGGCCTTGATGTAGGCGTTACCGACGTCTCCCTTGGTCAGATTGGCGTCGATGGCGGCGGCGTGGCCGAGGAACAGCTTGGTGGTCATGTCGTCGACGACGGTCGAGGTGGCGGGGACTTGGCTGGCGGGTAAGCCGGCGCGCTCGCGCTGGACCTTGGCGAAACCTCCGTCGGCGCTGTGCCGAGACTTGTAGGGGTCGTGCTTGTCAAGGCGTCCGGTCGCCTGGTCCACCTTGATCTTGCGCGCAGTGACGCAGCGCTGGACTGGCACGCCCTTGGCGGCGGGGACGGTGACGGGCACGAGGCAGTTGCCGGGCCCACGAAGGATGCAGTCGAGCCCCTTCTCATCGGCAGCCAACCAGTGCTCGCGCTCCGGCGAGTTGAGCAACTCCTTCTTGTTGGCGGGGACGCGATAGACGCACTTGCCGATGGGCGTGGAGACATCGACGAGGCGCTGCGTCGCTTTGAGGCACTCGGCGGTGACGACGGCGCCGGCGGCGTTGCGGAGGCTCGCGCGCCGCGCGTCGAGAAGCTCGGCAGACGCGCACTCGAAGGGGATGGCGTCCTCGCCGAGGACGGCGAAAAGCGTGGCGTTGTAGACGTCGACGTGCGCCTCGCTGGGCGTGCGCTCGAGCGCCTCCTCGACGGCGGCAGCGGCGAGGGCGGTGGCGTGGCGGCGGCGTGCCTGGGCCCGGGTCGTGGGGCCGCTGTCCGCCACGGCGCGGGCGGCTGCCTCGGCCTCAACCATCTCGCGGCCAATTCCACCCTCGTGGAAGAGATGCTCCGTGACCGGGTCCACGGGGGGGGCGGGCGTAGGAGGCGGTAGCCGGCGCCACTTGCGCTTGGTGTTCGCAAAGTTATGCGCGTACGGCTTGTCGGGCTGGGAGTCGTAGGTGACGAGCCACAGCCGCTCGCCCCTTTGCTCGACCACCTCGGTGACGGTGCCGACGTACTCGCTCGAGGTCACCGCAGGGGCGGGGTCTCGCCACACAACCGAGACGCGCGAGCCTTTCGGGAGGTCGAGCGGCGGCGCCGCGGCGCGGGGCGACGGCCTCACGCGCGGCGGCGTGGTGAGCTGCTCGCCTGTAGGGGGCGTCTGCGTGGCGGCCTCGACGACTGCGGCGCCCGTCGGGATGCCGCGGCGCAGCAGCTGCAGCTCGTCGAGCTGAGTGACGTGTCGCACACGAGCGGTGCCGCCGTTGTCTTTCCGCACGAGGTAGACGGAGCCGTTGGAGCGCGGATCGACGCCCATGAAGTCGCCCTCGGTGGCCCGTGGCCTGTCGCGGCTGCCCTTTGGTCCGCGCGTCTCCTTCTCCTCGTTGTACATGACACGGGTGCCAAACAGGAACAGCGGCCGGTCCTCATCGACGGTCGGGACCTTGCCGTAGTAGCGCTGGTAGCGCGACTCCTTCTGGCCGCTGCACGGCTTGAAGTTGACGAGGTGCTGTGCGTAAACGCGCGCAGGGAGCAGAAACGACGTACCTTTGTGCGCGCGCTGCAGCATGGCCTCGGCGGTGCGCGTGACGATGTCGTTGTTGACCTCGGCGGTGCCAACGGGCTCGTGATGCTGGCGCGGCGCGACTCTCACGGTGACCCCAAACTCGGACCCGCACCAGTCCTTCAGGGCGACGAGATCGGTGCCGGAGTCGAAGACGAACACTCTCGGGTCGTGGCCCGCGGCCTGGGCATCGTTGTAGACGTGCCGCATGAACGGCTTCCAGTCGTCGGCCGTGTGCTTCGTGCTGGTGTCCGTGTAGCCGAAGGACGTGTACTGGCAGACGCCGTGGAACTGGTAGACGTGGCCATTCAGGGGCGATGGGGCCTCGTGCCTGCCAAAACCGTCGAAGACGAAGGTGTGTCCAGCCCGTGGCGCCCGACCTGTCGGCGGCATGGCGTGGACGGCGCGCTTCCTCGAGCGAGCGAGGGCGAGGAAACGGTCCTTGTCGATGACCTCGGCGGCTGTACGGTTGACCTTGTCGACGCCGACACCGTGGGCGGCACGAGAGATTGAGACGATGCCGGCGGCATCGGTCACAAAGCGGGCGGCCATGAGCGCAGCTCTGTCGTCGACACGTAGCTTCGCAGCGGCGGCCTCGGCCCCGGCGACGGCAACACTGTACGAGACGGAGGGGACGGGGACGACTTCGAGGGTCACGAAGTAGAGGCCGTTGCGACTGTAGATGGGGTCAGTACGCCCATCCTTCCAGATGATGAGCCTGCGCACCTTAGACACGTCGGCGCCGTAGTTCTCCTCGAGGTAGCTCTCGGCGATGATGGACCGCGTGACGTTGTCAGAGAAGACAGCCTCGCGGATGTCCAGGGCGCGGCCGGACCCGGTGACGCCCCGCATGCTGATGACCTGCGACGTGGTGACGTCGGCAGCGGGTCCGATGCCGGTGATGGAGCAGGCGCGCTGCTGGATGTCGTAGACGCCGGTCACGTCGCCGAGGCGCACGGCTCCCCGCTCGGCGTTGGGGGCATGCTTGACGACGCACGTGTTGGAGCCCCCATCGAGCTGGAACTCGAGACGTATCGTCTGGCGCCCGCCTCGAGGGAGGGGCGGCCGCTCGCGCTGGAGACTGTGCGCAGCGCCGGTCTCGCCAGCGCTGACGGCGGCAGCACAGACACCGCTGGCGGCAGCCCCACTGGCAGGGTCGGCGCGGGCGGCGACGGGAGAGGCGACGGCGGCGACAGCGAGCGCAAGGCAGCCGAGGAGGCCGGCGACACGGCCGAAACCACAGCACGCGCGCTGGGCGGCCTGCCCGACCTCGGTAGCCGCGTCGCAGGCGGTGGCGGTGGCAGCGTGAAGGGCGCTGGCGCTGGTGCTGTACACGGCGGCGACAGCTGCAGCGCCAGTGCGGCGCGCCTCGGCTGCGGGGCCGCTGATGGCGCTGACGTCGACACCGAAACGGCCGCCCCCGAGCGCGAGAAGCGCAATGACCGTCGCGACGATAGCGACTGCGGTGGCAGCAGGCCAGGCGAGGACGCATGCAAGGCCGAGGTTGCTCTGAACGTCTCCGAGGTCGAGGCGGTAGACTGGTGCGGGCCCGACCTGCATGTCGCCGTCGGTGACGTCGCGCTCGACGTTCGGCGGTGGCACCGAGGAGCCGAGCCAACCACCTTCGCGCTGCGCGTCCAGGGTGGCACTCGCGCCGAGAGGCACGGTCTCTGAGACCCCCCCCTTGGCGACCTCAGCGGCGGCGACCTCGCGGCGCCCGACGTAGCCGTCGCCGAAGACGGCGCCGTCGTCGACGGCGGCGATGGGGTCCTCGTCGGAGCCACGGTCGTCGCGCGGCTGGT